GTGACACAGCTGCTGTGGATGTGCACTCCCAGGGACGTGCTGGTGTAAGTGATGACTGAATTTTTTCCCCATCAGAGCGACAGTGTTGATTTCTTGCTGTTCAAGCCAGATCATGTCTGATGCACCAGCAGGGAAATGCTGTGTCCCACACCCTGACAGGGTCTGGTGCTGACAGGTCCCTTTGCCTTTGCCCCCAGGACACTGAAGGCAGAAGTGGGGGGCTGAGCCTTGGGGTGACCTAAGTTAAGGCTGCAGCTGACAGTGAGGAGGTGTGGATGAGGACATTGCTGGTTTGCTCCACCATGTGTGCACTGTTGTCAGGGGAGAATGGTAAGTCTTTAATTCACCTATGTTCACTGGCTTTAATAAATAAAAAGGGAAAGAACACCTATTTCCAAGGAAGTTGCTTTTGCAGTGAAAGTCCCTGGAGGTTTGGCAGAATGAGGATTGGTATCACAGAAGGGGCCCTTGTAAGTGCTAAAACCTGAGCATCCCTGCTAAAAAACTCGTTTCCTGCAAGGAAGTTCCTATTAGTGGAAGTTCTTTCCAAAGATAGTAAATTAATGGCAGAGAGGTCTGAGAGGTTTCAATTCAGCTTCAAGGGCATAAATGTAGTGTTTTTGTCTTGCCTTATTTAAACAGTGTTGAAGCAAGGTACTTCTTGCAGAGTCTGGGAGCTCTTGTTCTTTACAGTTTTTGGGTTAAACCCCCCAATGTGAGGTTCTCAGTGTCTTAGAAGTGTGTGAAAAGTCATGCTTTCAGCATTGTGTCTGTTTGTAAGAGAGTGATTACTTTTGGTGGTTTCTTTGTTACTTCAAGATAAACTGACATCTGAAAACCTGTCCGTCTGGTTAGCATTTCACTAATTCTTTAGAAAATGTGCTTAACAGAACTTCATCAGATCAACAGCTGTTGGCCACTGGCTCGTGCAGTTGCAGCCTCATGTTGCTGTTGAGGTGCAGGTGCTCTGTCTCCAGGGAGGCTGAAGTTTCCCAAGAGCAGGACTGTGCCCTCTCTGAGCAAAAGGACACAAGAGCTCAGTCCAGGTGATGGAGCTGCTTGAGCTGACTGAATGTTTCTGTGGCACTCTGCTGTTAGTTCCCCCTGGCTGATGTCAAGTCCTGCTCTAGGAGCTCCCACAGTGCAGTTTGAGTTTATCCTGTTTTCAGTGTCTGGAAAGGAGGAAACTTGATCTATTTACAGAGCAGATGTAGTCTAGTGGTTTTTATGGGGGTCGAGTGGATTTAAAAGCTGTATATTTGCTGTGTGTGGTACAGTGGGTAGACAAAATGTTGTCTGTTCTCTTGACAGGTTGAGATTTATAAAAAGTTGTCCTGGGCCCTGCTGGAGTTCCAGTGTTCTGCTTAAGAAGATGGATAGCTCTGCTGCTCGGGATCCTCGTTCAAGCCACAGCATTCCCGTACCCTGCCATAGCTCTGACCTCTCAAAACTGTCAGGAGTAATGAATTTGTGTCCTGCCAACTTAGATGGAGGGTGTTTTATTTTCTGTCCCCTGGGTACAAAGGCATGTCACTGGAATGGCTTCTGGAACTTGCTTTGCTGCATGTTTAATGCAGTTGGATGCTTTTTTCTGCAGGGGCTGCATTCCCTGCCTGGCAGAGGATGTTGTCCTGCCATAGTCATGAAATGCAAGGAAGCCTCCTCAGAGCAGCTGTCAGGTGTGGGAGGATGGCCTCGTGTGTAAGGATGGCAGTCAGGGCTTGGTTCTCCCCTGCCATCCAGAAAGCTCCAGTGGGGTATCCCTGGCAGCCTGTGAAGTGGGCAAGGGTTGTCTGGGTGCTGCAGCAGTGTGTTTCTGTACTATTGGAAGCCTGGTTTTAATAAATCCTTGAGTAATGGGTGAGTTTGGCTGGTAAGTGAAGTTCTTGAGCCATGTTTAACAGCTGATTCTGGTTCTCCCAGCGGTGTGGGAGTTGGAGAGCACAGCACCAGTGTGCTGCTGTGAGTGCTGCTGGAGCTGCCTCGAGGTGTGCCGGGGCAGCAGAGCTCCACATAGCCTGGAGCAGAAGTGCTTGGCTGCTGTGCTGCAGGAGAGGTGCAGCCTGTGCTCAGCTTCTGCCTAATTAATCGGTTTCAGTGGTTCTGGGATGGGACTTAAGGTGCCTGAGCCTAACAATGGCCTTTAGCATGTATGCTTAGGAAACAACAATGATGGAAAATCACCTACTATTCAACATTCAAAGCAGTCTTCAATTACATTGAGTAGAGATTTTTCTTATTCAATTAATGTAAGCAGCCTGATCTCTTAAAACTGCTTACTGGTGAGGGACCAGAACTGCTAATACAATTAGTTTCATTAATGTAATGAGCAGACCTACCAGCAAACATTCTGTAGGGAGGAGAGAGTGCGTGTCCAGTGGGAGCTGGAGGGACAGCTGTGGCTGAAACATGTCCTTGGCATGTTTTACTACCTCTGCAAGAACAGTTCAGGTTTCAAGCTCTGCTCTATTGCATATATGTATCAGAATGAAATTTGAAACTTCGTAGGTTAATAATACACCCTGGTTGGTAGGGTACTAATCCCAGGCAACCCCTGAATGCTGGAGAGGTGGTTTGGGCACCTAGAAAATCTCTTACTGCAGTGCTTTGGTAAGAGGTGGGGATGAGCAGGTTTAACTCTGAGGTTAAAGCAGCCTGACTTTTGCTGGCCCTGGTCAGCTGCGAGTTTTGGATGGTTGGAATGAGGAGTGGAGGTCAGAAGTGTTCTGGATGAGGCTGACTCGCAGCTGCTCCTGGGCAAGGAGGGCTCCCTGCCCGGCAGAGCCACAGCATGGCAGGGTCGTGGCAGAGGCACAGCGTGGCAGGGCCACAGCAGAGCTCTCGGTTCCATCAGCTGCAGCAGAAACACACCTTGCTGTTGGTCCTATTGTAACTTTCTAAACTGAAGCCTGGAGTTGCTCATTTGGCTGGTATGTTTAAGCAAATGTTTACTTTTCTCAAACAGATCTGTTTCTTGGTGCCATGAACATTTGAGAGAAAAATAGCACAGATTATTTCTCTGTCTGATGTTGCTTTTAATAGAAATTTTCATACAGAGAGTTTTAACATTTGTATTCCCAAAGATCCAGGCATATTTTGGCTGCATGGTGATTATTCTTTTTAGACCCATGTGTTAGCTGCTGCATTAGTTCATAGCAAAGCGCAGCCCCATTACCCATTGCTGCTTCCACTTGCTGTGTAATTTCCTCTCTGTTCAGTGATAAGATTATCTGACACATCAGCTGTGTTGACAAGCTGGACACTACCATGGACAGCCAGTGAAGCACGACTTGAGTTTGTGACTACCAAAGGAACATCCAGATTTTGGGACCCTTAGACTGCTCCAGACAGTAAGAAGAGGACTTTGTTTTGAAGCAGAGCATTTCTGCCTCCCACAGCATCCACTGTTTTAAACAGGTGTTCTGCAGCTATAACTTTAGACTACAGACTCTTCCACACTCCTTGGCAGGTCTCTTGGCATCACAAACCAGGTATGCCAATCCTGAAGCAATCTCAGTGCAGAAACCTCAGGTGTGGGTGATGTTTGCAGGCACAGGAATGTGCATGTCCCCTGTGATGTATAAGGCAAGAGGGGCACAGCAAGCATCCCGAGAGCCTCTGACACATCCTGACATGTCAGACACGCTGACCCCGCCTCTGCCATGTCCTGCAGCTCCTCTGTGAGGTGGGGTCCAGAAACCCTGCCCAGAAAACCATGAATGAAGTATGAGGACTGGTGGAAGGGGCCATCTTAATGTAGCTGAGAGTTCACCTGTGTCTCCATGGCCTCTAAGACCTGTCTCAGCTTTGCAGCCTGGAGAGTGCTGAAGGAGATGGGAAGGAAGCAATCCACAAGGAAAGTAAACCAGTTAATTTTTGTTTTATTTCCCAAGAAATAAGATTCTTGCACCTAATGAATTATTTCTGAAAACACTAGTATGAGCTGCAGGCAACATTAGCTTCAAGTCTCCCAATGAGCAAGAATCCCATGTCTACTGTTTTAAAATTCCAGTATATTTTCATTTGCTGTAGCTCAACTCTAACATGACTGGAGGTCTGGAAAGAGGCCAGAAGAAGTTGCCATGTTTCCAACAGATTACTGTCTCCTCAGCTGAAGCAGTGGAAAGCAGTTCCTGGATCCTACTGGAGCCTGGGGCTATCAATTATCTCAGCAGAGAGGCTCCAGAGCCCTTTGTTAGCGCTGGGGATGGGCAATTGCAGCTAAGCAAAAAAATCGGTTGTGTCAGAGGTTAAATAGCTCTGCTGCTGCTTAAAACCAGGTTTGCTCTGGACTTCAAAGGCACTGGGGTTTCTGCCTCCTTTTCAAAGAAACCCTATGGCGAATCTGGAGGCAAAATCCAGCCAGGAATGTGGGCTGGAATGCAGTGACCCACCAGCACATGATCCCCTCCCTGTGCCAGGGAGCAGGTGATCAACTCCCACCTCCCACCCAGAGCTGAGCCTGGGGCACTGGGAAGAGGCAAGGTGCTGCTCTGGCGGAGTCTGCAGGGTTGTGTTGGCTTGCCATGGCCCTGCTCAGTGACTGAGGGATGCATCATCTGAGAGAAACACAGGAACAGATGGTAGAGGGAGTTACAGTGGGAGGAAAACCCAATTAGAAGTTCCAGCATGGTTTGTGTTGGGGATATGGATCTTATACCTTAAATAACAGCCAGGAAAAGAGAGATACCAGGCTTTGTCACCCACGGTGGAGAAAATTCTTGTTCCAGGCAGAGAATGATATGAAAAAAACTTTGGTGAAGCTTCTAGGAGGTTTTTCTCTGAAGGGAGAGTGAATGAGGGAGATACACAATGGGCGAGACGGACTTAAGATGTCCAGTGTTGGGCTCAGTATTCCAACAGAGGCTTTTTAGCTTCCCCCTCCTGGAAGAATGTTTAATAATTAAAATATCAGTCTGAGATGTAGAAGTCTGGAGAATATCCCAGATACTCTGCAGGGAATATCCCCAGCCCCTCCTGGCATAAGCACCTTGGCATCAGTCTTGGAGGGGGTCACTTGCACCCTGTTTTGGCTATCCAGAAGTTAATTTTCAGAAGCAGAGAGCATTCTCTGAGCTGGACTCAGGCAGTGGCCCCTCTCAGCCTCAGCTGCTCTAAAATCCCTCATCGCCAGGACAGAGTTTGCAACTTTTTGCCATGCATGGGGATGGAGCTGCCTGGGAAACATTCCTTCCTGGGAGGGGGCCAGGCACTGTGAAAAGGCCAAAGACAGCACATTTCAGCAAGTGCAGCTGGGTGTCCTTTTGCTGGGTGTCCTTTCGCTTGCAAACACATGCCCTAAGTGCAGAAAGCCCCGACCTGTGTTTGTGGAGCTGCTGGTGCCACAGCCCTGCCCTGCCCGGCGCAGCCCTGGCACAGTGGTGGAGCTCTCACCTTCCCCTGCTCTGCCAGAGCTGCTCCCCTGCAGCTGCTGCAGGTGCAGGTGAGGCTGTGCAGGTGAGGTGTTCATGGGAGGGCAAGGAACAGGGTACATGTTCTGGAAGCAGGATGAGGGACTGAGCTAGAAAGAGATTTCTGGCTTTATTCCCTAATAAAAGTGCTAAAGAATAAAAAAAAAAAAAAAAAGGTTCCTGAATAACAGAAGATATGGGAGGATTAATGTATTTTTTTTAATTTTTTCTCACTGTGTTTTTTTATTTTTCATTAAATTATATTTCTACCTGGTGCTACACTCTTAATTGCCTTGCTGAATATACCAAATAGGTCTCGGATCACTGACTAATGTTGATAAATTATTCTTATGAAACAGATGTGTGTTTTGTGTGTTTTCTGAGGGGTACTCAGAAACAAGGGTCAGAGCTCAGGCATTCCCAGGCCTCATGGTTATGTTAGGACCAAGTCAGCCTAGAAACTCACAGAAGTGACCCTGGTGGAAAGGACTGCCTGTCCTTGAAAGCTTTTTGTTCTTTATAAAGAAGTCCTAGAAATGCTGTTTGGTGAGTTTATTCTGGAATTTATGAGCGTATGAGTTGCACAAACTTTTCCTGATGTAGGCGTATATTAATAAGCCTGCAATACAGTATGGGGTGCTTGCTGTCCTGGAAATCCTCTTTAAATACATCAGTGTCTCTAAAACCTTCCTGCAGCTCAGAGTATGGCCCAGCACATCCCATCTCAGCTTCCACCCATCCACCCTGACACCAGAATAGAAAAAGTATTTATCTGGGAAACAGGCACTTAGAAAATTATTCCTTCACTTTCCCTTTATTTCTGTTAAATAAATTCTGTACTTCCTGGAATAGAGGCTCTGAACTGCTGAACCCAGTCTGAAAGCAACCCAGATAATGAGCTCATTTACATTAATAAGAAATCAACTGTTCCTTTTTGCTGCATTCCCAGGGGAGCAGCTGGTGGTCTGCTTTTTCCATGCAGCCTCCTCCATACTGAAATCCTCAGAAGTATTTGTTTGTCTGAAAATGTTACTGGAAAACAAAATAGGTGATGTGAAAAACAAACAGAGAAAGCCATGGATTGTTCTGGTCAATTAGACCTTTGGAAAGCGGTGAAATGCTTTGTATATTTATTCGATAGCTGCATTCAAGCCTCATGGCTCTTAATTTACACTTTCTCATGTCTGGATCAATCTTCATCTCACTGTCCCCAAGCCTCTCCACTGTTCAGGACAGTGCTAAAAGCTGCCTCACTGTGTGGTTCATTTTAAGACTAATTATCATCAAGGCATGAAAACAGCCTTTTACATTATGTAATTTAGAGTTTGCACATAGACCAAATCATTTTAACTTCAATTATTACTGACCATGTCTGTTTGCATTAGAAAAATGGTACTGGTAATAAAGTGTAAACTATTATGTTGGGGTTTTTTTAAATTTAAATATATTTTCT